GGGGGGGACAAAAAACCCACTTCCCATCACAGCAGGGCCACAGTCACCTCCAGAGCTTTTTTTGACCCACAGCAAAAGCCACAGCCAGGTCAGGTTTTGCAGCCAGGGCAGGGATCATGACAGGTCCCAGCGTTACCCAACACAGTATTTTTGCCATAGTTTTCTCCCTGCAGCGGGGGCTGTCCCCACACTTCTGACAGCTTTGCAGAAACAGGAACCCATTTCATCACAAGTGGCTCTACGCAGGTGACCTTTGGGAGGCCGAGGAAGCCCCACTCCGTGGGGTGAGCCACAGGTCAGCTCTGCCCGGCACGTTCCACCTACGGTGCTGGTCTCGCTCCTCAAACCTCTGCTCCGACCACGGGCTCATTCTGGTAAACCCACTCCCCTACCCAAGCTTGACTCAGTGTCAAAGCCTGGATGTTTCCTGCAGAAGGACCATGTTGTGCAGTCCTCCACCATGGAGAGGAGGAGGATGTTTCCTCCTCTAGCATCAGCCCACACCACCAGGGATGTGGCAGCCCCTCTCCAAACACCACCCCTAGGGCAGCTTCTAGCATCCTGGTGGCTGTAGCCCTGAGGCACAGCTAGGCCATCGTGCATGCCATTCCTTCCCTTACTTTGTGGCTGGACGGGATGCTGTCAGTGGGGTCACCTGCTCCCAAACAGCTGCAGGACATGGGTTTATTGCATCCCCTTCACCTTAAGGTGTCCTTAATAAGACCTCCCCGCCTGGCTGCAGATCGCACTCCAGAGCGTTGACCGGTGACTGCCGGCCCCGTGACGCAGCAGCGCTCCAGCTGCCAAAACCCCGCACGACCAGAGCAGCTGGGAGCTCCTGCCAAGGCGAGGAGGGCAGCGAGCCCTTCCTGCCCAGCACCAGCTCCTCCTCACGCAGGAGGCAGACACCCGGCCTCACCTCCTGCCCTCGGAGGAGCAGGAGCTCACAGGGACCCTGCTTGTAGGGTGGGAGCAGGGGATCAATCTCCATAGGCTCACATGGGACATGGGGCACAGAGGCAGGCAGCACTGTGCAGCTATGGAGGCTGCTTCCTTCTTCCTCCTCTGAAGAGGAGGAGAGGCCAGGCTCTGCTGCTTGCACTAGAGAGCCTCTTTCCGCAGCCTCACCCCTTCCAGAGGGGACATCCCTGCTCCCTCTCCCCACTTCCAACAAGGGGCTTGGAGTAAGGGAACTCTCCACAGTTATCCAAAGCCTCAGCAACTTTTATCCAGGCCCCCCCAACCCCCTGCAGAGGAGTAGCCCTGGGACCAGCTGCAAGGAGCTGCTGGGTCCTCACTGTCATTTCCCAGGTTCTCCAGACCCAAGCAGCACAGGACTCCTCCACCCTCACTTCTGGGAGCTGTGCAGCCAGGACCAGAGGGGAGAGCCAGAAGCAATTAAGCTTCCCCTTCCCAGTTGGCATTAGCCATGGATCCCCCACCAGCTCCTTCCCCATGGAAGGGAGGGCAAGGACACCCAATCAACTCACCACAGCCCCAGGGCAGCTGCAAGCCCCCCGGCCCAAGCCGCCCAGCTCGTGTACGGAGGGGGAGGCCGAGCCAGAAACCAGAGAGCAGAGCAGAAGCCAGAGCGAACCCTGCAACTCCAGCCCCAGCTGAGACCTGGCGCTATCATCGCGGCAGTGACACGGCCAAAGCAGAACAAGGAAAGGCAGGGACTCGCTGCCAGAGGGCCCCGGCGGTGGGAGAAGCAGCCGGGGAAGGGAAGGAAGGGACCGAGCCCGCTCCGTACCTGGCGCAGTGCATGGAACCGCTCCGCGCTACCACCGCCCGGCGCGCTTTTGGGCCGTATTCCGGGAAAAGGAGCCGCTGCAGCCGTTTCCCACAACCGGCACCTGCGAATGGGGGCGACCAAGGAAAATCATTGCGAAAAGAGAGAGAAACGGTAAAATTATCGAAAAAGGGACCCCAAGGAGAGGATTTGGCTTCTATTTTTGCTTTATCTTATTTTTTATCTTATTTTAGTCTTCAGTTCTAGTCTTTTATTCCATTCTATTTCTTTCTATTTCATTTCATTTCATTTCATTTCATTTCATTTCATTTCATTTCATTTCATTTCATTTCATTTCATTTCATTTCATTTCATTTCATTTCATTTCATTTTATTCCATTTCACTTCAGTGTATTTTATTTTATTTTATTTTATTTCATTTTATTTCATTTTATTTCATTTTATTTCATTTCATTTCATTTCATTTCATTTCATTTCATTTCATTTCATTTCATTTTATTTTATTTTATTTTATTTTATTTTTTATCTTTGCACCAACCTCTCTCTTTTTTTATTGGCGTTATTAGTGTTTTCTTGCTGCGAGGTGCTTGGGCACCCCGGCACGTCCGCGTCCCATGACCCGGGGCGGTGAGTGGGTGGGGAAGCTCCTCGGGGGCGTAGAAATCTCACAGGGAGGTTAGTGGGAAGAGGCTTCGCCTCTCTTTTTTTCCTGGCAATCCGCATGATGCAAAGCGGAAAATAAAGTGACTTTCTGGCCAGGGTGTTGAGCCTCGGCATCTCCTCAGGTCCCGTCCGGGACGCAGGAGAGCCGTCCTGGCTCTGGCCATGGGGAGAGCGCCCGGCGCCTTGTGCAACGTGTCCAAGGCTCAAGGGCGAGTGTTGCAAACGGGGCCCCGCGGCGCAGGGGCAGCGCTGCTGCACGCCGGCCCGGCCTGCGGGCTGCTCACTTTAAAGTCCACTCGCGGCGCTGGGGCAACTCCCCGCAGCTCCTGCCTCATGCCCGAATGCCGACGTGGGGGTCGAGCGGGGCCTCTGGCAGGAGACAGAGCGGAGGTGCTGAGGTTGCTGGCTCAGACCTCCTACTTTGCCACAACCCTCGGGATCCCTCGGGAGCTCCCCCAAGGGGAAGCTCTGCGAGGCCCTGCCGGGGGAGAGATGCCCATAGCTCCTGGTAACAGCCCCAGGCCTGGGCGCCCTCCAGGCGTTTGCATCCCAAGGGCCGAGGGTGCTGAGCCGGGCGGCCGGAGCTGCTCCCGTCCCAGCACCTAGTGGTGTCCAGAGGTTTTCACCAATAACCACGCACTCCAAGTCTCCTCCCTGCAGAAGCTGTTTGCTAGCAGCGAGGCTCCTCTCTGTGCTTGTCGCTGCGCTGAAGCTACACGTGAAACGCGGCTGGAGATGCCAGGTTTGTGCACGTACCCAGCAACGTGTTTGTGCTGGACTGACTTCTCCTAACCTTGGGTGGAGGAGGCAGAATAGGCTCAGGATTAAGAACTTAAACCAAGTTTGGCACAAGTCTGTGTCAGCCCTTAGCAGCCTCCCGTCACCACCGGGCTTCATCCTGCCCTGTCGGGATTTACCCCATTCCCGCTGCCGCAGGACACAGCAGCCCTGGCATCTGCACGGCTTCTTAAAGCCGCCTCCTTAAGCACGAGCCAGGGCGGCTATGGATAACAAACAGTGGAGGTTTATGTCAGTTGCTCGTATATATAAAGTCAATCTTTAGGTAGAGGGTCAGAGGCAGCCCTCTTGAGACCCGAGGGACCCCTGTGTGGGTTGCACAGGGGCTGCACAGCAAGAATGAGGAGACCCCAGGAGAGTGGGTTGGCCCCAGCACAGCAGCACGGTGGCATCTCCATCCTCGAGGAACATCGGCAAGGCCCTGGGCAACCTGCTGTGGCTGCCAGGGTGGCCTTGAAGACCTGAGAGCTGCCGTCTCAGCCGAATCCCTCTGGGCTTGCCTAGCTCTATGTGGAGCCATTGCCCTTCTCAAAGCCCCGGTGCTGCTGATGCCCAATGCATGACCCACAGGGATGCGGGGACCTCGCTCATGGAAGTGGGGCTCTCAGGGGAGATTATCTGCAGGGATGCAGAGAGCAAACAGGAAATGGTGAGAGACAGGTGAGACACGGGAACCTCCTACATGGGCCTGGTGTGAAATCCAGCTTTGTGTGGTGCAGGGAAGGACGCAGGGATGACTCCCAGAATGCTCCAGGAAGGCCCCAGATGCCTCACAGACTGGAAGCAACACATGAGCTCGCTGCCCTGTATCGGAGCAAACCCTCCCTTTATCAATTTATTGCTAATAATTAAGTTGCCCTAACCAGAAGCAGTTGGCTATCGCTAGAGCCAGGTTATGCAGGAAGGCAAACACGTGCCTCTATTACTAACGCGGGGACACATCTATTTTTGGCGGACGGCAAACAAGCCTATCTCGGGGGCTGTGTGCAAGCGACTCATCCCGCAGACCTTTGCCCGCTGAGCATGGTGTGACTCTTTGCACCTCCACAGCTTCCCCTGAGGCAAGAGGGGCTCCCCGTGACACGCGGCCACCTCGAGCGAGGGGGGCTGGTTCCCTTCAGCGCTCGCCCCGCACCGCGCGCGGCTGCACATGGCCAGGTTGCATGAGAGAGGCCGCTGGCTGCACCCTGCTCTTCAGTTTTCTATTTATAAAGGGGCTCGGGGGTGAGCTGTGAAATGTGGAACGTGATGGGGCCTCGCGGGCTTGCGGTCTCTGGGGTCTCCCACGAGGTTCTTCCGTAGGTCTGTAGTTCCCCCGCCCCAGAACGGGAGCAGCCACCGGAGACCCCTCACAAGTCGCCTTCCTGAAGCTGGAGTGGGTCCTGCCCCACTGCAGTGGCCACAGCCACCGAGTGTCACCCAGAAAATGCAACCCGGGGCCTTTTGCTGGGTCACCGGTGGCACCTTGATCTCCAGGCCCAAGCACGAGGGCTTTGCATGCTCCTTACTGGGAGCTGAGCAGGGATTGACACTCTGCGCTCCCCAAGGGACTTCAAGGAGGGTGGTTTGGG